TTCGTTACAACTGCGAGATCTCGTTAACACTCACGCCCATGCCGGGCCGATCATTGTGCCCAACGGCCAGGGACTCGCGATGCACAGCGATGCAATCTGGCACTTCAGCGATGTCACGATCACCGAAGTCAGTGGGGTCTGCAGCCGTGGCGGTGATCAGGACTGGACCGCGGACCCCGGAGGAGCAGACTGCAGCCGCCGCGGCCTCCCACTTGCCTGGATGGAGGAGTTGGTGAGGTTCCTCATGATGTCCACGATGAACTCCTTGTTCTTCTCGAAGTCGGCGGGAGTCAGGCTCTCCGAGCCGTCAAACAGGAACACCAGGTCTACGTCTCTCTTGAAGCAGCCTGGCCCACAGGGAAAACACACGTCGGGAATTCGGCCCTGAGCGCGGCGCGGCGTGGGGCGGCAGCGTGGTGCCGCTGTCAGGGCCGCACACTCCAAACGGGAAGGTCCTGGGTTCGAATCCCAGGTGAGACTCTGGTATTGCACAACGTGAGCAGTTCACGGCACTGAATCACTCCCGTAAAACACATAGCTGTGAAAATGGCAAATTTCAGTTGCTCTGGATTAAAACAGTGAATAAATAAGTGAACTATAATACTGGAGTTTTAAGGAAGAATGGTTACAAATGAGACCTTGTAGCCTGTTTGGTAGCTGATTCCAGCTGTACATGAAGAAATAAAAGTATGTGCCTGTTCACAACTCCCACCACCCTGTGTGTAAAGCAGAGTCTCCTGTCCTGACTGGAGGATCTCATCCAGCTGTTTCTCGAGAGAATCCAGGGTACCGGCTGCAACAAGATTGCTGGACAGCTTGATCCACACTGCCTTCTCGCTCACTGGGCTGGAAGAAGTCAGGGTACTGGACCGAACACGACAGCGCTGACTCCTGCCTGGAATTACTCATTGACTGTGCTGATGATTTAACATGGGCAGCCGCTCACATGGCTGGGTGTTGTCCTGGAGCAGCGCAGGCGGGGACTTCAGCCCAAGGTGAACAACAGCTGCGTGGCAGCCTGGGATCCAAGCCCACTCAGCTGGTGGCCCCACTCAGAAACATGCCCCCTCCGCGGCGAGTGGGCGGCCCTTACCCTGGTAGGAGGGGGTGAGGTTGCCGGTGAGCTGCAGGTGCTGGTCGAACTGGTAGCAGATGCTGTTCAGGTACATGTTGGAGGCGCAGCCGTGGGCCAGGGAGGGGCTGCAGGTCTGGGGGGAGAGTCACAGGTCAGATCTCCAGAGCCACACAGCAGGGGAGCAAGGGGCAGGGGCGCTGAGGAGGAGCAGGTCTGGAGGGAGAGCCACAGGTCAGATCTCCAGAGCCACACAGCAGGGGAGCAAGGGGCAGGGGCGCTGAGGAGGAGCAGGTCTGGGGGGAGAGCCACAGGTCAGATCTCCAGAGCCAGTACCAGGGGAGCAAGGGGCAGGGGCGCTGAGGAGGAGCAGGAGGAAGAGGAGGAAGAGGACAAGGGGTGAACTAGAAGAGGGCAGTGGGGTGAGGAAGAGGAAGGCAGTGGAGTTGGGCAGTGGGGTGAAGAAGAGGAAGGCAGTGGAGTAGGAAGAGGAAGAGGGGAGGAGGGCAGTGGGGTGAAGAAGAGGAGGGCAGTGGAGTGATGTTAGAGAGAGGGGAGGAGGGCAGTGGGGTGAGGAAGAGGAGGGCAGTGGAATAGGCTGAGGAAGAGGGGAGGAGGGCACTGAGGTGAGGAAGAGGGGAAGAGGGCAGTGAATGAGGAAGAGGAGGGTAGTGGAGTAGGGTGAGGAAGAGGGGAGGAGGGCAGGAGGGTGAGAAGGAGGAGGGTAGTGGTGTGAGGAATTGGGCAGGAGAGTGGTGATGTGAGGAAGAGGGGAGGAGGGCAATGAGGTTAGGAAGAGCAGGGTAGTGGTGTAGGGTGAGGAAGAGGAGGGCAGTGGGCTTGGGTGAGAAAGAGGAGTGCTTGGGGTATAGTGAGGAAGAGGAGGAGGACAGTGAGGAAGAGGAAGGAGACTTACTGTGAGCTGAGGGTTGCTCCCCATCCTGGCAGCAAGGGACAGTCCCACAGCTTTCACTGAGTCCATGACCGTAACTAGAGAGAAGAGAGAACAGCTTTTCACAAAAAACACACCACAGTCTGAAGCAACTGCAGGAGACCAGCGCCACCTTCTGTCCCACCCGAGAGACAGACAAGAGAACAGCACCACCTTCTGTCACACGCGAGAGACAGACCGGAAACCAGCGCCACCTTCTGTCACACCTGAGAGACAGACTGGAGACCAGCGCCACCTTCTCTCTCACCTGAGAGACAGGACCAGAGACCAGTGCCACCTTCTCTCTCACCTGAGAGACAGGACCAGAGACCAGCGCCACCTTCTCTCTCACCTGAGAGACAGGACCAGAGACCAGTGCCACCTTCTCTCTCACCTGAGAGACAGGATCAGAGACCAGTGCCACCTTCTGTCACACCTGAGAGACAGACCGGAGACCAGCGCCACCTTCTCTCTCACCTGAGAGACAGGACCAGAGACCAGAGCAACCTTTGTCCTAATGTGATGTAGTGTACATACTTGTCATTGACAAGGGACAGAGCATCTTCTGATCTGACCTTGGGTTCTTCAATACAGTTTGCATGTTCCCTCTGTGTTCATGGGAGTTATCCAGGTGCTCTGACTTGCTTCCTCTT